AGGAGCCTCCCTCTAGCATATTAGTTGATGTTTCCTGATTGTTTCCATAACTCTGACTTCTATAAACCATAACTTTTGCAATTTATTCAGATCTGCTTGTTTCAGTAGGATTAATGATCTCCTGTTACAGATTAAAACCTGGAATCTTTTTTTAGGCCATTTTTAACTTCTTGTATTAATAGAGTTCTTATATCTTTTATTATGCTCATTAGGTATTTTATATCTTTATAGTACCATGTATGATATTTCTATTTTAAATTTATAACTTTTTTGAAATGGAAAATTTTAATGGGATTTCAAGTATTTTTGATCCTGTATCTGGCATTTTTTTTTTTTTCCCCCCGAGACAGAGTCTCTCTCTGTAGCTTGGGAGCCTATCCTGTCACTCGCTCTGGAGCCCAGGCTAGCCTCGAACTCACAGAGATCAGCCTGCCTCTGCCTCCTGAGTGCTGGGATTAAAGGCATGCGCCACCAATGCCCGGCTATATCTGGCAATTTTAAATGTCACTTATATTCCAAGGTTATATAGGGGTTTTTTTGTTTTTTGTTTTTTGTTTTTTGGTTGTTTGTGTACATAATATCTAGTATCAAAGAAATGGCTTTTTCCTTTCTGATTCATTTACATTTTTTTCTATTTTTCTACCTTTACTAACAACTTACTAAAATGTTGAATAGGGATATTGAGTTGACAATCTTATTTCGTTCCTATATACAATGAATATTCCCAACATTTCAGTCTTAAAATAGGATGGTTGCCTGGAGATTTTTTAATATAGTATCCCTCTACGATGAGTTTTTTCATGAGACATTATGAAATATAACAAATACTGTTTGTACTGTTGTTGGTATGGTCATACATGTTTGCTTCTTAATTCTGTCGATGGCAATTCACACTGATTTTATAAAATGTTAAGTTACCTCATATTCCTAGAATGAAAGCTGGTGAGACTCATTCCTTCAAACCACATAGGAAGAGAGAGCAAGGCAGCAAGCAGCATGCAAACAAATGCTCATGTTTCTTCCCTGACACTTGCTTAAGAATTCTGTGTCTGTCGTCAGAAGAGAGACTGGCCTAGATGGTTTTTCATAAGTGTCCTTTTCAGTTTTTATGTGGTAGAGATTTAAAAGTGTTTTTGTTTTAAATATATTCTTTACTTTACTATAACTCTATGCTTCCGTTCTTAATTTTTAATTCCAATAATTTTACTTTGTTTTGGAATTAGGGCTTTGTTGTATATCTCAGACTGGCCCTAAATTTGTGATGTTCCTTCAGTATCTGGAATTAAAGAAATGCACCACCAAATTAGCCAAATTATTTTGTTTTAGATTTATAGAAAATATACATGCAGAATTCCTTCTAGCAGTCACTCAGCTTCTCCTTTTTCTGTTACAGTTTCATAGTATATTTGCAAACGGAAGGAATCAGCATTTTTATATTGCTGATGAGTGTTCTTGATTTTTATTTGTATTTCATCAGTTTTTTATTAATGCCTTTTTTCTGTTCCATGGACCCATCCAGTATTTCACATTTGTGTAGTTGCTCCTGTGGTCTGAATGCTTCCATCATTCAAAAAAACACAGGTGGAAACATTAGGAGGTGATAGGTATCAATCAGGTCATGGATTGGTCACTCTTGAATGAAATTAGTGTCTTATACAGGGAACCTGGGGAGCTGCCTAGATCCTTATGCCATATAATGGCATAAGCCAAGAGCAGGCCTCTCCTCTTTGTAAAAATCAATTTAAAAAATTAAGACCTGAATATATAGGCTTAAACCTTTGAAACTATTGTAGGAAAATATAGAAGTACTTCAAGACCTCGGCATGGACAGTCTTTGATTTTCTGGATAAGACTCTAGTAACATAGGTTAGACTAACTTATTTCATAAAGCTTCTGCAGAGCAAAGGAAATACTAACCAGAGTGAAAAGCCCGCATACCAAGTTGGAGAAAAATCTTTGCCAGCTACTCATCTGACAGGGACTACTATCTGGAAATTATTCGGAACTCAAAAAAGTAAACATCAAAACTCTAATCAGCCAATTAATAAATGGGCAAACGAGCAGTTCTCAAGAGTCAATACAAATGCTCTATAAATACATGAAAAAAGTACTCAGTATCTTTATCCATCAGGAAATGCAAATCAAAACTATACTGAGATCCCTTCTCACTCTAGTCAGAGTAGCTAATATCAAGAAAACAAATGCTGGAAGGATGCAGGGGGAAAGAAACTCTTATACAACATTGTTGGGAATGTAAATGTTAAGACAACTGTTGTGGAAGGTAGTGTGACAATTCTTCAAAAACTAAAATTGTAATACCATGTGATCCAGCATCTACCAGTCTGGGAATATATCACAAAAACATGTGCATATTGTGCTGACTGTTGGTTCTATCTACAGTAGGGATCAGACTAGATGTCTATCAAGAAATAAATGAATAATGGATACGCTATGAACAATGGAATTCTGTTCAGCCATAAAGAAAAACGAAGTTATGGCATTTGCAGGAAAATGAATAGAGGTAGAGATCATTAAGCTAACCTCAAAACAAGCCAGAGTCAAAATCACAAATGTCATATATACCTTTCTCTTGTATACAGACTCTAGAGTTTAAAGCAATATATACGTTAGGAAAACTAGATGCCATATGGTTTTTGGGAAAACTTCTAAGTGATGAACTTGGCTGAAGAAATTTTTAAGCAGGTGTTGAGGGTACAGCTTGGTTTTATTAGATGTTGGTTATAAAATACAAGAAAAATGATTTTTTAACAGTGTTAATTATCTTGCATGTAATAGAGTATTAACTGGATCATTAGCAACTTAACCAGAAACGGCTACACCCTGAAGAAAAATAACTCTTCCTTATTAATTGCCGATAATTCCTCATCAAGGGGTGGGTCTTCATGAATGTAAGTGTTATTGCTCTGAAGGGAAAGGTATCCTGGCAGTCAGAAGCCAAGGATTACCTACAGCTCTGAAGAGAAAGCTATCCCAACAGAAGTGTTGCAGCTCTGTTCCATTGGGGGACTGTTTGCCTAGCAAAGTCTTTGCTCTGGGAAAGGTTTCCCTAATGCAAATGTAACAATTCTGCTCCAGCAGGGGAGGCTATTGCCAGCCAGGTTGTCCCAGCTCTGCTCTGCTCTGAGAAATGTTTGTTACAGCTTTGCTCAGCTTCCCTGGAGTGTTTACACTTTGCTTCTCCAGCAAGGGAAAGTTTCCCCAGCCAGTGTTAACAGTTCTGCTCTGCTCCTGTTCCACTCTGCCCCTGCAACAGCCATTATAGCTCTGCTCTGGCAAAAGCTATTCAGTTTACCTGCAGAAATGTAGCATTTGTAGCAGTTCTGTCGTGCTCTGGAGAGAGTCTTTAAAGCTCTAAGTTGTTACAACAAACCTCACTCAAGAAGATTTATCAGAAGGGAGGAATCAAGGAGAGTGGCTGCCTCTGCCAGGGTAAAAGAGGGGCAGCCCCAAACTGAACTGGTATAGGGCTTTTTAGAGTTCCTTAGGGGTGGAGCTTTCCAAGGTGGGGATTGGTAGGATCTCAATTCCTGAGCTTGGTTGGATTTTGTGCTCAGGGACTGGTTGGATTTCAATTCTTAAGTTGGTTAGGGGCAGAGGGTGTTTATTTGGCTCTGGTCTTAAGGCCAGGGTGTTCTACCACTGGCCCTTTTTATCCTACAGTGAGCCCTTTCTCTGTTCATGCTGGAATATTGACAGGTTAGAACCTACATAGGTCTTGTGTAAGAACCACAGCTGCTTTGAGTTCACGATCACAATGGCCAAATGACATTGTTTCAGAGCAACCCCTCCTTCCTTGTTTCAAGCTCTTTCTTTCTACCACCTCTCTGCATTGAAGGAAATGATTTAAAGTTGTAATTTTAATAAGAAAAGCAGAGATTTAAAATTTGGAAGGTGTTTAGCATTTCTGTATTATAAAAATGTGACAGGTTGTTTGGCAGAGAACACCAGTAGTATGGCCAAGTGGCCATTTGATAAAATAAGTATGGATCAGCCAGGCACTCTTCACTAAGACAATTGAAGACTGTATCCAAAGGCATTTCAGAGACTATTGGTGCCACTCCACTGATGTGCCATAGTGCAGGGACCTTGAGGACATAACAATTTCAAAGGAGACATTTCAGTTCCTTGTGAATCTTCTATACTCACTGCATAGTGCTGCCCTACAGATTCTTCTGTTTTCACACTCCATGTCTCTACCCTCCTCAGTCACCTCAGGTGTGGCTGTGCATTGGAAGGAGCCCCATGGTCATTGTCTGCCAGAGTCATGGAGACTGAGATTTAAGAGTTAGGACTTGCTTGTGACCTATGTCTCCTTTTCTCTTTTGGAATGAGAGTGTCCTATGCTGGTCCTACTGTTGTATTTTGGAAAGTATGTTTTATGTTATTGGTTCACAGTTGGAGAACATTTTGTCTTGTTTTTTTTTTTTTTTTTTTTTTTTATTATTCTTGTTTTTTTTTTTTTTTTTTTTTTGTAATATAATCACTAAGTCCAGCCTATACTTGGGGGCTTGGGGGTCAGAGTTAAGCTTTACCTTTATTGGTGAGAGGTATCTACATGTTCTATGGAATTTTTCATAAGCAAAACTGGCCCCTTGTCCTGTTATTTATTGAATGTTTATTATTCAGTCGTTCATTTGCTCTTTTAAAACATGATTTCTTTGTTATACACACAAACATCCCCATTTGGTTCCACCATTGAAATATAAACCCTTTGTGGCAAGACTTTGTTTTGTGTTTATCTTTATGTCCCTGGGCATTTAGTACAGTTTTATGTAATTGTCAAATTAAATATAAATAAATGAATGTCTGTTAATTTCAGCTAGAAAGTATGTTTTCTCAGTTAAATTATATAATGGTAATACAAATTAAAATTAGAAGTAAATTTTGGAAAAATGATAAAACATGTTTGGTCACTTTGCCTAGTTACTTACATATTTCTTGCCAAAGATATGAACTGTTTTGTCTCCCCCCCCCATTAGTTCACCAAAGCAGAGTAAGGCTCTCTTTCCTTCATCCTCTACAAAGTTATCATCTGATGCGATCACTCAGATAACAACAGAAAGTCCAGAAAAGACCACGTTTTCATCTGAAATTTTTATTAATGTTGAAGATCATGGACAGGAAGTTCTAGGCCCCATGGCCCAAAAGCCACCCGAGCTTGCCTCAGTATGCTCAGTGCAACAAATCACATCTTCTCATGGCAAAGACGGTAGGGAATGTAACTGAGTTTTACATCATTAACCTGCTTTATGTGTAACTAATTATGTCTGAAATGTTACTGTTTTTCTCATATTAAACCTAAATTTTTGTTTGTTATTCCGAGGTAGGGTTTCTCTGTAGTTTTGGATCGATCCTAGAACTCCCTTTGTAGACTATGCTGGCCTTGAACTCACAGAAATCCACCTGCCTCTGCCTCCCAAGTGCTGGAATTAAAGGCATGTGCCACCACTGCCTGGCCCATTAATCCTAAATTTAAGGTAAACATTATGCTACAAAAATACTATATCCAATTTTTGTTTGCATACCTGTGAAAAGAATAGGATTTTCTTTCATCTTTATTTTGAAGGAGTTAGCAAGAGTATGTTGCAATTCATATTGCTTATGAATATGGCTGGCTGACTTTTGTCCCATAATTTTTATAAAAATACAGTAGTATGTAAAAACTGTTTTTAAGGCAAGCAAATGAATTATTGGCATTTAGCTCATAGTAATGTGACATATGAGACTTTAATAGTACACAGTAATGACTTATTTTTTGCTTATGAAACAACCACTTGTTACTTAGGTTGACCATTAATCCTTCTGTGTGGAAATGCAAACATGTATGTGCACACATGCACAGGCACCCCCACACATGTAAATATACACACATGAAAAGAAAAAAAAATCCATGGATGCTAGTGGATATAGCTCAATGATAGTGTGCATACATACTTAACATGTACCAGGTTCTAGACCAGCCTGTAGCACTACCAAATATGTATCAACTCACACATACTCTCATACACAGGTATGTTTTATTTTTAGCAGTTTAACAAAAATTTGTCTTTGCATCTCAGGCTTGTGAGCCAATTGCAGTTTGGCAGAGTTTGGCTCCAGGTAGCAAAAGCAGTTTAGGTATGCCTCCAAGTGCCTGTTTCTGAGATTCAGGTCATGGGGCAGTTGCTGTCTTGCCTGGAATATGTTGTTTTTATGATGGTGGTAGAAACACAAGAATAGAGACCCAACTGTGAAAAAAATTTAAACCTACATTTATATCAGAGTTCTCTGTGTATGAATAGGATAAAATTAATATTCTATTATAAAACAAGAATTGAATTTTAACTTACTTTTTTATGATAATGAGGGTATAAATAGAAGAAAAACATGGCTAGAATCTACATTAAACTGATGATCTTTTAATAAACCTTGTCCTTTTTACTTCAGTGTATTTTCTTAATATTCAAAATTTTATAATAGAAGCTTTATTTTGAAACTGCTATACGAAAAGTGAAGTAGACTTATTCTCTTATGTCTCTAGGAGTAGAGTTAAGTAGGCACTTGGGTTTATATAAGATAAACTTTTATAGTTAGTCATCTACTTATGGAATAGATTGCTGAAAATGCACCCCTCAACCTGGTTAGGCTGCATCCTGGTTTGATTTCCTTCCTGTTCTGGTCCTTCACAATATTTGTCACATCACTTATAATTTATTAAAATACTAGATAATTTGATTATATAGTTTAATTAGATGTGCCGTGTATTTCCCATGTTGAAAGTAAAGGTGAATTTATGTTTGGCTCATTCATGTATTTCAAGAATGGTGAGCACTGCCTAGCAGGTAGAAGGTACCTGGTATGTATTAGAGTCAGTGTTGCTTTCTTCCTAATGGTTCTGATCTTTATCTCCTCAGGTCAGCCAGTACTGTTGCCTTATAAGCCATCTGGTAGTTCGAAGATGTACTATGTTCCACAACTAAAAACACTTCCTTCATGTCTGGATTCCAGATCAGATACCACTATTGAGAGCTCACATTCAGGTATTATTGCAAAAAATATCTAAGATTTTATTTTTGGAAATATTGTATATTGGCTGGTCAATTGTGATGTCTTATAGTGAAATATGGAGGTTTTCTTGCTTTAACCCCTGGTTGATTCATAACAAGAGTTATTTGAGATTTTCTTTAAGAAAAAAAGAGAAGGCTAAGTTGAGTTGACAGCTACCTGGGTCAGTGTGAAAGCCCCTTTAGATTAAGCACAGAGCTCAAAGACATGAAGACTTTACTGGTTTCAGTTGTTTCAGACAGTCTTCACGCAGGCAGTAGCCACCACCATGCAAACTGAGGTGAAACTTTAATGGCCATACCCAATCAAGTGTAGTCTTTACAGTCTTAATTGAGAACAGTAGCAAACCCTGAGGTGGGAGTAGAATCTGACTTTTAACAGTTACTATATTATATTATATTATTTAAATTTTCAAGTTTGCAACAAAAATACAAAGGAAAAACACAAGATACAGTTTGTTACATACAAAGGAGAAAAGTGCCTGAGGAATCTTAGGCATTGGACTTACTAGACAAACACTTAACTATTTAAAATATGTTTAGTGATCTAAATGAAACAACTTTTGAAGAACTAAGGCCTTACTAAATAGAGAACATTATAAAGAGATAGAAATTATAAGAAGGGGCCGTATTATAATTCTGGACTTGAAAAACACAGTAGGAAAACTTAATTTGCTAGAGGAGCTCAATAGAAGATGATGTAGAAACAGTGAACCTTAAGATAGGTCCATTGAGATGACTTAGTGTGAGGAACAGACAAAAGAGAAAAAGAAACAAATATCAGAGTTCTGTGGGACACCATTAAGTTGCTACAATGGAGGGAGCAAAAGTATAAGAGTAATGATTTGCCTTCTCAGTGAGAAATCGCTCTGTACCCTTAGAGATGAATGCGCCTGGATGACTGGGGCTAAGATCCAAACGAGAGTTGGTACTGACCAGAAGATTTTACTAACTCAGGTGCACTTCAGGCTTATGCATTCTAAAACCGCCATGCTTAAATCTCTTTTGGGTCCCTGCCCCAGTTTGAACACTTTGAACAGAGATAACAGAGTCTGGCCATCTGGGCATATAGGTTTTCCAGAATTATTTTAAGTACATCAGTGTTCTTTTTTGAGTAGTTGTTTCCCAGGGTCATCTTGCCCACCTGGCAAAATTGTCTTTTCTAATAAGCACACAGTACTTCATGGAAGACCTGGATTTAATGATCGATAGTTGTGACCCTACACTTCCTCCCCTTGAGCTTCCCTTTAGAGCAGTGTTTCTCAACCTTCCTGACACTGTGACCCTTTAATACAGTTAGTTCCTCGTGTTTCTGTGACACCCCAACCTAACTGTAGTTTTGCTATTGTTATAAGTTGTAATATAAATATTTGATATTCAGGATATCTGATATGCGACCCCTGTGAAAGGTTGTTCAAACCCCCAGGGGGTTGCAACCCACAGGCTGGGAATCACTGCTCTGTAGAATTGGCTGGCCTAGAGCTTAGTATGTAAACCAAGCTGGGCTGGAATTTACAGAGATCGGCCTGCCTCCGCCTCCCGAGTACTGGTATTAAAGGTGTGTGCCACCACACCAGGCTTGCCTTCACTGTATGGTGAGCTATCATGAGGCTTGATGATTAAAATAATATAGGGCAGTGGCATTTTCATAAAATGTAACATGATATCCAAAATATAAGTAACAAAGAAGAAATAGAAAAATAATTCAAGATGCTTGTGCACCAAAAAATATACTGCCAACAAAAAGATAATTCATAGATAAGAGGTTGTTTTGTTTTAGAGTCTCAATATGTGACTCTGGCTGGTCTAGAGCTCACTATGTAGAGTAGGCTGACCTCAAACTCACCAAGATCCTCCTGCCTTTGCCTGCCTAGTGCTGGGAATAAATGCATGTTCCACCAATGTGGGACAAGGGAGAATATTTTCAAACTGTATGTTTGTCTAATAAGGAATTAATATCCAGAAAAATATGAAGAACTTACAGTTCAACAACAAAACCAAAATACTTTGATTTATATGTGCTCATGGAACCTACATCCACTTTAGCCTACAAATACATGAAAAGGTACTTTGCATCAGTCATCACAGGCAAGTACCACCCAGAGCCGTAAGAGGTCACACATCATCACACTTGTTAGAATCATTCCTAATTCCTTTAAACATAAAACTAAGTGTTGATGAGGTTATGAAGAAATTAGAATCTTTGTGCTGGTGGAATGTAAATGGCATAACCACTGTGGAAAACAACATGGCATTTTTTCAGAGTTCCAAAAACAGACTTAGGTTTGAGTAATTCTGCTTCTCAGTATATGCTTCAAAGAAATGAAAACAGTATCTTAAAGAATCATCTGTGTGCCCATGCTCATAGAGGTAGTATTCACAGTAGCCCGAAGGTGGACCCCATATATCTGTCACTCATGAGTGGATGAACACAGTAGAGCGTGCTTAGAGTACTTGGACTTTGTAAAGCAGCAACATTCTGATACATTGATACATGCTGTATTATATATTCTTTGAACTAGTGGATATTAAAGCTGTTAATGTGTTATGGCCAAATGCCATGCTAGGTAATAACACTTAGCTAGCATGCACAAGGGCCCTTGGTTCAGTTCCTGAACCACTGATCTATATTGCTAGGCCTCCCCATGCCTGTTGTTTTCTTTTTAACTTTTTATTTTGAGACAGAAATGCCTTGCATTACCTAAACTGGCTTTGAACTTGCTCTTTAGCCCAGGCAGTCTTTGAACTTGTGCTTTTGCCTCAGCCCCAAGTCGCCTTGATGAGAAATCTGAACCACAAAGGTTAGCTTCTGGGTTGTTTTAAATTGTTCATAGTTTTCATGAATTTTGTTCAAAGACTGAATAGACTCTTATAGTAAATATTCACAAATTAGGCATTACAGCATAACTTAGGAAAATTGTTCTGCTGCGTATGGTAGAACAGTTGGTTTTTATAAGCTGTTACGCGGGGCAGGAGTCATATCCTGGGAAGCAGATTGGTAAGCATGTTACTTCCCTGGAAGATATAAAAAAAGAGACTTAACTTTGTTCCTGCACCCAGGCTGAACTGACTCTTTTCAGCTGGTGTGAAATCTTTTATTTTGAAAGCTGGTCTCTTTGGGATCCTGCTTCCTTAAAGTTGCTTGCATGTCATTAGCACAAGTGATTCCATTTTGGTCTGTTCTGCTGAGTCCTGGTATAGGAGCTTAGTTCAAAATATTGGCCCCCCACATTTTAATATGAAGAAAGCAGAGTGGTGGGTAAACATGGTTGACAATAGATCATGCAGGGTTTGTAAGCAATTTAAAAGCATTTGTGCTTTGCTGTAGTAGGTAACTGGTTTGATTTAGCTTTGTAAATTTTATCCTAGTTTTTATATGAAGATGATGGCTTGTAGGTGGGAAGTGGGAGATTCAGAGCCAAAGTGTTAGTGGAGACATCAGTTAGTTAGAAGGCTTTGCCGTACTTGAAAAGGAAGCCTCTAGGATTAGAGTGACATCACAGAGAAGGAGTAAGTGGACACACCAGCAACTGCATTTTAGGAAACACTTCCTGTAGACTTGGTGTTAGCAGGATAAGGCAATGGGAAAAAATGATTTCTAGTTTCTTACAGTGAACACTGGGTAAGTATGTAGATGGAAGTTTTGCTCCAGACATAAATCTCTACCCATGTGTATTTCAGTTCTGCACAGATGCTAGAAAATAAGCACATGCTCTCTGTTGTGTGCATATTTGTCTGTACTCTTCTCCAGCTGCCTCTCAGTCCCACTGGCATTCATTCTCTTGCTCATCCATTGCAACTATCAGAAATTATCTGTTGTTCTCCATTCAACTGATATGGTCACTTCTCTTGGGGAAAGAAGGATAGTTAGTTGGCTGATTGTTCATGTTATTGTTGTTTGTTCCTGACATGTGCTCTGGTTTGGAGAAGGATTGGTGAGAATGATCACCCATTAGAGTTGTGTTGAACCACAATATATAGTGACTTAAAATGTATGAAGAAGGGACGTGTCTTTTTCTCATTTCTATTAAAATGGTGTAAGAACTACCTGTACCCTTTATTGCTAGAATATGAAGCATGAAAGAAAACTCTTGGCCAGTGATACGCTTTTTTGGCTTTTTTCAAGACAGGGTCTCACTATATAACCGTGGATGTTCTGGAACTTAAATGTAGACCTAGCTGACTATGAACCCAGAGATCTGACTGCCTCTGCCTTCCAAGTACTGGGATTAAAGGCATGTGCCACTATGCTTGGCTTAAGCATTTAGTTTTTACCAGCCATTCTTTCCTTGGAAGTTATAGTGTGTGTACCCAGGAAGAATAAAGGTCCAGTTGTGGAGGAACTCCAGCACTGGAGACTTGGTAGAAGAAAGGGTAGTAGGACTTTCCAGAGAGCTAAGGGGCAAGGGCAGAAAGTGATAATCAGGTAAGTCATCTGTAGACTTGATCCAGAAGGCTTTGTAGGAAACTTGCAGGCTGTTTACTTTCTCAGTTCTTATTGTCATATACGTATTACTACTATTACACACACACACACACACACACACACACACACACACACACAATAATTAGGAACTCAAGAAATATACAAAGCGTGGGATCCTGGGCTAGAAAGACAAACCATTTTATAGAATTCTGTAGTTCCTATAAGCCTTTATATGTCTAGAAATGAGTTTTGCCTATAGATGTAACATAACAGATTAGTTTCTGTTTGTCAGTATATATAGGAATGTTGAAATACCTTTAAAACAAAGTTTGATTCTTTCAAATCTTTTGTCACATAAATTTTTCCTTTCAGTTTTTTTTCTTTTGTTCTTTTTTAAATTTGCTTTTTCATTTTTATCGTGCTGGGGATTGAACTCAATGTCACAAATGCTAGTCATATATGCTCTTTCCTCTGATCTACATGACTAGCTCTCTTTCAATGTTTTATATTGTTAGACTGTTGTAGGAATCTAGCAGAGTTACTGTGTCTAGGGTAAATCATTAGAGTGAATAATTATTTGCTAGAAGTACTTTGACCTTGAAGAATCATTGTGGAAAACTATTGTTTTTCTTGATTTGTAGACTTGTTTTTCTGAGGGGGGGGGCATTACAGCCTTTGCATGGCTTTGGTCACAAGATGCTTCTGATACACCTGAAGCTCTTGGATTATTGTGTACTACAAACAGTGGCAAAAGGACTGAAGTAAGTAGCAAGGGTCTGTGATGCTTTCTTTTAGAGAGACATAATTAGAATAGTGACCTTGGTATGAAGAAATACTTTACCCAGAAAAACAACTTCGTATAACAATCTAAATACATAAACTTTTATACAGCAGTTCAAGGGTTAGTTCATCAGAGGCTGGACCTTCTTCTTGCTGCCACACAGGCCTTAAAATTTTATCTTGGAGTGACCTTTGTCTTCGATTGACTTATGCAATACAGAACACCCCAACATTAGATAAATTTTCCTAAGTCAAAGCTTATGAATCACTCCATGTTTAAAAGAAAAAGCTTTGGAGCTGGAGAGATGGCTCAGCGGTTAAGAGCACTGACTGTTCTTCCAGAAGTCCTGAGTTCAATTCCCAGCAACCACATGGTGGCTCACAATCACCCTCTGCTGGCATGCAGGCAGAAGACATAATAAATTAAAAAAAAAAAATCATTATTAAAAAAAATTCTAGCCGGGCGTTGGTGGTACACACCTTTAATCCCAGTACTCGGGAGGCAGAGGCAGGTGGATCTCTGTGAGTTCCAGGCCAGCCTGGTCTCCAGAGCAAGTGCCAGGATAGGCTCCAAAGCTACACAGAGAAACCCTGGCTGGAAAAACAAAAAAAAAAAAAAATAAATAAAAATTCTTTAAAAAAAAAAAACTTCATTGATGCTACATCTCATATACAGTAAAATCTATGGTCTTGGGATTAGGATTCCATATGCTGCTGTTATATTTAAATAGTATTCTTAATGTATCCTGTTGTACAGCCTGACCACTATGTGCATTGTTCCTATACATGCCATGTGTGTGCTTGAATAGTACCTACTATCTAACATGTCTTTTTGTCTTCATATCAATACCAGAAGTCATCCCCCAGTCATTTTCCTTCTTTCAGAAGCTTTCCCGAACTGGTAGTGCCCCCCTGACATTTATTGTACATGTCTCTGAGTTTCAGTTTGACTGATATTCTAATTAGCCTGTAACATCACTATCATGGTGCTCTTTTCATAGCAGTTGTCTAAGGGAAGAAAAAGTCTTTCTTGACTTCAAGACTATTGTTAATTGTAATATTTTCTCTTTTTTTTTTTTCTGTAGGGTCCAATGATGCGATTGCCCCAGACTTTCCAGCTGAAATGCTAGGCACAAGAGATGATGACCTCTCAACCACTGTGAACATTAAGCATACAGAAGGGATCTATAGTAAGAGGGCCGTGACAAAGGTGAAAAAACCCCCTCAGAAAGATAATGCAGGTAATGAGTGACCTTGCCTGTCTTACAACTTCTTTCCTGAACCTTTTTATTTGAAGTGAGAATATTGTTGTCTTTATCCATTTTCTGGTTTGTTTTGGAAACTTTGTCCTTACCATAGGACAAAGTACACAGGAAAGTAGAATGTTAGAATATCTAAAGTGCTTTGAGATTGGAAAATGTTAAACTTTATTTTCACCATAAATAAAATGTATTATAGCTGTTGAAATGAAACACTAAATCAAGCCTCTAGTGCATACTAGATATCAGAAAATCTTGATTAAAATTCTCATGAATTTATCTCTGTTAAATGTAGCAGAGTGGCATTTCTGGCAGGATTTGACAAGGTGTTAAGAGTTTATATGATGTTTTGAAATTGTATTTTGCTATCAACCTGTGAAAATTCAGTTTTGGGGCTCCTTGGGGGAAGAAAAGAATCAGAATGTCTGGCTTCCCCTAGCTCTCATTTCTCTGTGACAGTAGTCACCTTCAGCTGAGCCCTGGCTCTTTCCTGCAGACAGGACATCCATTCTCATGTTTGTATCAGTCCCCAACCCTCTCAGATCCCACCTGCTTCATTCAAGTACTTGGTCTCTGTGGCCAAACTGTTGAGTTTTCAACTTTTTCTCTAGATAGAGGACAGCCATTTTCTAAAAGTACAATATATTTAAAATTGCAGGAAGACCACTAGTTCCAGTAAGATGCTGTTTCAAAAAAACCTAAACCAAAGCATAGAAACATAGATTAACAGGTAAGTAGACGGATAGATAGATAGATGTTCTATAAGAAAATGAAAGAGTATGCCTTCTTAATTTTAAAAAAGGAAAAATTTCTTTAGACTCTATTCCTCTCCAAAAACCAAACAAAAAGTAAAACCAGCAACCATATAGGGAAATAAGGAATGTTCAAGTAAAAAAATTCTATAAAATGTGAACAGTAAATAAAGGCAGATCACAGAGTGGAAGTGAAAATTACAATGTATACATTCCACAAAAAAATATTCTGAATATAAAAAGAAATAGTGTGAAAAAAGATATTCAACTTAGTAGAAATTGGGCAAAAGAATTGTGGACAATTACTCTATAAAAGAGATTATGTAATACCTAATAATTGCATATTAAATTTTCACTGTTGATAATCTGATGATACAAATTAAGACAGCAGTATCTTTCTATACTCATTAGAATGGCTGAAATAAAAAATGCTGTGCTATGGAGAATAAGAACTCATTCACTGCTGGTGAGAGTATAAATTACTATCCTGACTTTGTATGTGTGTTTTGAATCCAGGGCCTCACATAGGCTAAGCATGCACTCTACCACTGAGCCTTAGCCCCACACATATTGTTTAAGCAGTATTTGTAAAAGTTTCATAGAAACCACTCAGGTAGCCAATATTTGTTTAATAAAACAGATAATTTGTAGTACTAACACTATTGAATAATTACTGGCAGGGAGAAAAGGGTAAGTATATGTAACAGCATGTAATGAACTTTACACACACAGTGTGAGTCAAGGAAGGAAAACACATACCTTGTATTATTCATTTATACAAAGTCGAGACATTCCTGATGAATTTGTTGTATTTAAAATCAGATATTATATACTCTGGTTTCTCTTCAGTTTGTATAAATCTTAAATCAAGTGTTGGAGAAAATGGGAAGGAAGAATGAGAGGGCAATAGGCTTCTGTTTAGATTTTATTTCTTGACCTGGATACGGTTATACACATATTGTTTGATAATTAGTGATATTCCTTTATTTATTTATTTGTTTGTTTGTTTGTTTGTTTGTTTATTGTTTTGATTTTCAAGACAGGATTTCTCTGTATGGCTTTGGAGCCTGTCATCGAACTCGCTCTGTAGACCAGGCTGGCCTTGAACTCACAGAGATCCACCTGCATCTCCCTCCTGGGGGCTGGGATTAAAGGTGTGTGCCACCACTGCCCAGCTGATATTTCTTCATTTTATGTAAATGTTTTCTAGGACAGGTAAAATATTTTTTAAAAGATGTGCAAAAGAGCCTAAAGTACATACAAGACTACCATAGAAAAAATTCTAAAATTACATTGAAATTTATTAATGAAGTCCTACGTAATTAGAGAATTACGTATTAGTAATAATGCAGTCTTCAAATGTCATTAAATTAATCTCATAAGAGAGCTTTCTGTACTAGCACCAAAATTTTATATGTAGCTTACTAAATATTATTTGTAAAAGATTTAAAAGAGAAGTGTAGGAGGCAGCCATGTTGGTATGACTTTAGGGGTGTGGTGTCTGACATTTCTAGGAGACAGAATCTCACAACAAACTTCCTGTTCCTCTGGCTCTTAAAAATCCTTCTACTCTCTCTTCTACAGTGATCCCAGAGTCTTAGGTGCAGGAATTGAGCTATCGGTGGTTCAGTTGGGACTGAGCTACACAACTCTGTATTTTGATCAGTTGTAGTTTTCTGTAATGGTCTTTGTTATAAAGAGAAGTTTCCAGCATGGTGGTGGTGGCGCATGCACTCAGGAGGCAGAAGCAGGCAGATCTCTATGAGTTCGAGACCAGCCTGGTCTACAAGAGCTAGTTCCAGAACAGGGAAGAGCACAACAATTAGTTATTCAATATCAAATAGTCAGCCCTGAAAACATATATTTACACATAACGTAAGACTGATCAAGTTGTCTTTATATGTTTAGGAATACATACATGCATGCAGGCTGCGCGCATGCGTGTGCACACAGACACAGACAGACAGACAGACAGACAGACAGACACACACACACACACACACACCCCACCACCACCTGCCACAAACAATAACATCAATAATTAAAAAGAGGCCATGGAGCAAGGTGTACAGGAGAGGGTTTGGAGAGAGGAAAGAGAAGGGGGAAATGTTAAAATCTCAAAAAAAAATTATTTTCTAAATAAAAAAGTGTAGCATAATGTGACCCAGAGCCAAACTTATGAATATGGAAACTTAACAGAGAGATGGTGTGCCATGGAAGTTTGAGGATGAACATCAGTAGTGCTTAGAAATTGGTAACATATGTTAGAAAACCAGGTAAATCCTGTCTGCACACTGAACAAAACAAAAGAAAAAATATATAATTTAAATATCCTTATAATTCTGAAATGGTTCAGAATTTCATCCTTTCTTTGAGAAAGGGTGACTTAGTTAGGGTTTCTATTGTTGTGAAGAGACACCGTGACCATGGCACTCTTACAAAGGAAAATATTTCATTAGGGCTGGCTCACAGTTGCAGAGGTTTAGTCCACTATCTTCATGGTGGCATGCAAGCAGACTTGCTGATGGTGAAGGAGCTGAGAGTTATGTGCCACACTGAATGTGACTTGAGCATAGGAGACCTCAAAGCCCATCCCCACAGTGACATACTTCCTCCCATGAGGCCACACCCACTCCAGCAAAGCCACACCCCCTAACAGAGCAACTCCCTATAGGGGCCATTTTCTTTCAAACAACCAGACGGGGTTTTGTATGTTTAAGCTGATTTTGAACTTGTTATGTAGCTAAGCATAACCTCTACTTTCTGATTTGCCTTCAAATCCACCACCTCCATGAAAGTATCACAGGCATGTGTCACCATCCCAGTTTATGTGGTACTGGAGACCAAGTCCAAGAGTTCATGTATTCGCTTGCTAGGCAAGCACTCCAACAACCAAGCTGTATATCTCCAGTTCCCAGTCTACAAGTGATATGAAGCGTAGATCCAAGGAGGGTGAAAAATGGAGTTAGTAAATGAAAAACTTGGCACATAAAATATAAGTCACTAAAATATATAGATTAAAAAAAGATGTTTGTAACTTGTAAAAGTCAATGGGAAATGTTACTGGAATGCTCACTCTACTGTTTTTCAGCATAAAAACAAAGAGAAATAGCTGTATATTGATCAGTAGATGAGTTGGTATGTTAAAAGAATACATACAGCATTGAATCTTACAAGATTTAGACATTTAAAATGATTATAAATGAGTATAGATTATTAAAATTGTTAATATTTTTTATTAATGGATCATACTAAAGAGATTGAGAGAAACTCAAGTTGAGTATAAAGGGTGCTACTAAGAAGGGGATAGACAGCATCAGGGAACCATGTTTATTTCTTAAGCCTAGTTGTTAATAGCTTGTTAAGCTCCTAGTGTGTCTAATACATTAAGTGGAAAATTAATTAAAATATTAGATGGAAAAATTTAGGATTGAAGTAATAGCAATAAGGAAAAAAATAATTGATTTGAAAGAAAAGAGTGTTGGATAAATAAAGCCAAGGCTGGTTATTCGTTGTGTGTTTCATTCTTAACATTGTTTTGATTTCTTTCTTAAGCAATATGGATAGAGGTAAGAGCAGACATATGATCAAGGAGGGAAAAAGAGAACATAAAATATCAGACAAGCTTAAAAGTTGTAACTACATGAGATTTAGAGAGTATGATATGTAAAATCTAGACTGTATAAGTTTTTCTTGACTATATGATATATTAATTAGCTCCACAGTTGATAAAAAACTTTGAAAAGGCCAAAGAGCTCCAAGCACTTGTTTAAACCCATATTTTTACTTTGAAAAACATAATTGATTTGAAAGAAAAGAGATTGTGGTTTCCTGAGACTATTAACAGATTTTAAAGTGCTACTTTATTTAAACTGATGTTGTGCATTGAAAGATGTGGCAGACTTTGTAATTGCTATTACAGTTTTCCAAACCAGAGCCTATGTGCTTTTTCCCCCTCATTTATAAAGGACTTGGAAGTGGCTGTGTGTTAGGGAGGGGCAGGAAAGTTGCTTGCCTTTTGTTTATTGTCTTCTCTCTGGGATCAATGATGTCCATATCCTGAGACCCCAGTTAAATTACCCGTCACTGGGGATCAGAATATCTCAAACAAAAACAGAAAGAGATCACCAGTAGAAGGGTTATGACCAAGATGACAAGGCCTGAAGAAAGAAGTTCCTTGCAGGACGCTGCAGGTAGCTGAACTGGATTGTTTGGCTCTCCTTTCCTCTGTTCTCCTACGAAGACTATTGCTAGAAAATCACAAGCAGCAGTGTGCTTTCTAGTGTCTCTCTGCTGTCTCTAGGCCTCCTTCCCACTCGATCATGTGAAGCAGCTGAATGAAGGGTTCTAGCTGATGTTTTGATTTTGGTATAGATTAAGTTGACATTTTTAAAACTCTTTAAGATATTTATGCAGAACTTTTGAATGTATAATATTACAAAATAATCTTATTGTCAGAAATTGACTTACCAGGGGCTTTTTCCTTTTTTCAGTAATTTATTTCACTGTAACAAGATACTCTCCACATGAAATATATATAAAGCTTGAAAAGGGTTTTTTTGTTTGTTTTGTTACCATAATTCTGATAATTATATTTTATAGGATTGTCTAGAACTTTTTTCCTTGTTTATATTATTGCTTTTGTCTTTATTGTTTATAGAATTAATCCTCCATCTGATATAATGGTTACATTTCCCCCTAATTTTTGGTGTTTTGCCTTACATGGTTTATGTCAGTCATTGCCATATGATCCATTTTGAATGCAAACTTTCTTCCTCTTATTCTCTCCTCCTTTCTTACTTTGCATACAGTTTCCAAGTCATTATTATGAAGTTCTTACCATGTTTAGATTATGGCTGTAAGATACTGTTTTGTTGAGTTTTTATAGCTGTTTTTATTTTTTATTTTTGCATTTTAGAATATTTTAAAAATAAATAGCAGTGAGACCAGTTGTTGAATTTATTAAACTATACTATACATTTTAACTGAGTTAAAATAGTCTCTAACATATATTGTATTTTTTTATGAAGATAGTCTCATACCGTTTATACAAAATCTGTTTACTCTTTAGATATTCAACTTGTTTACTTTGCAAATTACTTCAATAGGATTACACAAAAAAATTGCCTGTAGTAGCATGTTTAATTTAGGATTAGCTTTGGTTCTAAGAGATAAAGACCAAAAACATTTCTTACAAAAATTCAGAGCTCAGGGAGCAATATTTTTTCTTCCTCTGTTGTTGACACAGCATACCTTATGGTGATGCTGTAGCTCTATATATACTTGTGTTTTTTTTTTTCCTTCCAATTTACATTTTTCTAAACAGTGTGGTATAGATATTTGTTTTGCAGTACCTCCAACACATAGATGGTTAGAGGCTTTTGGGGTCAACTTCTTATATATATTATTGGGGTGTTCATTTTCTTCTCTTAGGTTCCGGTGATACCACTGTACAAGACAAAGAAACTGAAAACCTGCCAGACACTGAATCCATTAAACAGAAGGAGGAGATCCATGTTAAGAGGACCATCCCTCAGGAATTCTGTCCAGAGAAAGAAGGATCCTTAGAGATAGATATTTCTGGTAATGCAGTATATGTCAGTGTGTGTGCCTGAGGCCTAGTGTATCTATCTGTGTTTCTGGTCTATTCTGACGAAAATAAGATGCTTTCCTATTTTACTTATTTATAAATATCATTCCAATATTGCTTTGTCTGCATATGTATGAATTTGTAAAACAAATATTAATTCTAAGGAAATATATAGAAGCAGTATTACAAGTCAATATATTCAGTCTTCCATATCCAATTCAACCAACTCTGCAGAAAACATCTGAGAAAAAAGTTGTCTTTGTTGACTTCTTTTTTTTTAGCATTACTCTCCACAGACAGCACAGGATAATGACTATTGACTTAGCACTTACCTTTTCTGGTGTTAAACGTAATCTAGTGACAATTTAAAGTGTAGAAGTACTGATACACATCCATATGTATAGCTATATATAAGCATCTACAGACTTTGGCATCTATGAGAGGTTCAGGAACCAATTCCACCAGACACTTGAGGAATGACTGTCTCTAAGGCTGATGATGTTAGAAGTACAGTATCATGTCTTAGTATTGAAACATGGAAACCTGAAGTTACTATAGAATACTGAGAAGGGTAACTTCAATATATAACAGTAAAAAGACAAATTAAATGAATTTTTGCTTGTCTTTGGCCCCGATATTATGACAAAAAAGAAGAGCATACTGCACATAAACCATTACTGTTCAGCTGTCAAATTTTACCACCCAGAAGATAAGAGTTTCCATGTAAGAAAAGGAGGCAAAGAATTGAGTCTGCTAACTCTGTATGCTGAAAAGAGTTTCTGTTAACTCCTCACATTTAGAATATATAAAATAATTTTATCAAGGGTACAAGTACTATGCAATGGGAAAAAGATAATCTTTTCAACTGATAGTATAGAAAAATGGATAACCACATTAGAAGAATGAAGTTAAATCATTACATGAAAATTTCATCAAAGAGGATTAGACATATAAACAGAAGACCTAAACCTCTAAAACTAGTAGAAGACATAAGAGTAAAGCTTCAGGAAACTGTATTTGGTAATCATTTCTTTGACATGACAGGAAAAGTATATATGGACACATGAAACTCTGTTAAACTCAAAAATTTGTACATCTGGAAGCAAGCAAGAACATAAATAGACTATCAACAGAGTTGGGAAAATATTCCCAAATCATCTGTCTGTTGAAAGTTAAACCTAGAATGTATAAGGAACATGTGTCCCTTGAAAACAAAAAGCAAACCTGACTTAAAAACGGACAAGGAGTTAAACATACGGTTCTCCAAATGACACTCAACTAATTTAAGAGCTCGCGCCCATCAGAATGGCTACAAATAAAGGAACACTACAAAAATAATACCAACTGTTGGGGAGAATACAGAAAAGTTGGAATTAATGCACCACCAGCAGGAATGTAAAATGGTGTAGTTGTGAAAAATAATGTATTCCCTCAAAAAAAATTTAAAGAATTACTATATGATATAGCAGTCCCACTTTGGGGCATATATTCAAAAGAATTCAGAGCAAGACCTCAAACTTCACAACAGTGTTATTCATTATAACCAAGAGGTAGAAGTGATCCAACTGTCCATCAGATAATAGATAAGGAAAAAGTGAATTATTGGTCACTGAAGAGCTTTTATAGAATAGTTGTCTTAGTTAAGGTTTCTGTTGCTGTAAAGAGTCACCATGACCACGGCAACTCCTATAAAGGGAAACATTTAATTGGGGCTGGCTTACAGTTCAGTCCATTATTGTCATGCTGGGAAACATGGAAGCATGCAGGCAGACATGGTGCTGGAGAGTTTGCTGTGAGTTCTATCTACTGTCTTGATCTGCAGGCAGCAAATGTAGACTGTGTGCCACACTGGGCATAGCTTGAGCATATGAAACCTCAAAGTCTGCCTCTACAGGGATATACTTCCTCCATAAGGCCACGTCCACTCCAACAAGGCCACACCTAATAGTGCCACTCCTAAGGGCCAAACAGTCAAATGCATGAGTCTATGGGGGGCCATATCTATTTAAACCACTACTGTGGTACATACCTATAATCCAAGCACTCAGGAAGCAGAAGTAGGAAGATTACAAATTATAGGCTACCATGGTATACATAGTGAATTAAAGGTCATTATGGAATATGTACCTAGACCTTGTCTCAAACAAAACAACAAGAAAGAAAAATGTATTATATATTTAAAGATGGTTGTTATGAAGACATCATGAGGAAATTATATCACATGCTACAACATGGGTGAACCTTATGAGGGCATACACTAAGCAAAATAGTCCAGTCACTAAGGCACAGATATTTTTTGATTCTACTAATATGAAATATCTCAAGAAGACTAAAATCATAGAAATAGAATGTAGAAAGGTGATTGCCAAGTGCTAGGGTTAGAAGGAAGATGGACAGAGAATAATGTTCACACAGACATTGATCTTGTGATTTTCTTGTTTTCGCTTCCCGAGTACATTCCCTGGAATTACAGGCTCCTGGCTTATTTTTGTAATAATGTTCTTTGGAATATAGAAGATTTCAGTTTCGATAAATGCGGGTATTCACTTATCATAACACTAGCTGTTAAGATAACTATTTCTTCATCAGATGGTCCTGAGACTTTTACCAAAAATCAATTGATTATAGATACATAATTTTATTTTAGGACTGTCAGTAGTGTCTGTTGATCTGTGCTTTGATCCTGTGAATAGTACCAGTTTGTCTTGATTACTGTTGACTTATGGTCAAGTTTGACCTAGAGATGTGTTGGGCCTTCAACTTTTTTTTATTTTCAGAATCCTGTCTCCTATAGGTTCCTTAAAATTACATCTGAATTTTAGAATTATTTTGTCAGTTTCTACAAAAAAACAAACTGGGATTCTGATAGGGATTGCACTGGATCTGAAGAGTGTTACTGTTTGATTTTTTTTCTTTTCTTTCTTTCTTTCTTTCTTTCTTTCTTTCTTTCTTTCTTTTTTTTTCTTTTTTTTTTTTACTCTATGAATACTTCGGTGTTATCCATTTATTTAGATATTTAATTTCATAGTAATACTTTATAACATTCAGAGTATGGATTTTGCAATTGTTTTTTAAAGATTGTTTTCTAGTGTTTTATTTTTATGCTATTTTGACTAGAATTATATTTTTAAATATTTTTATATTGGGATATAATAATTCTGTAGTCATTTATAAGCTACTGTATTTTTGTAGGTAACCCAGTTTTCTTTCTTTTAATGGTATATATGTTTGTATTTGTGGGTGTGTATGCATGTATTACATAAAACTTACATGAAGTGCTTTTTTTTCCATTTTGTGTGGTGAATGTAGTCAGATTGGTAATTAGAACCACTTCTGTATTAGTTTCTTTTCTATTGCTGTGATAAAACAACTAGGCAACTTACAGAAAGAAGCTTATGGTTCCAGAGGGATAAGAGTCTGTCACCATCATGGTGGGGAAGTGTGGTAGCAGCCAGGTATGGTGACTGGAGCAGCAAACTAAGAGCTCATATCTTAGAACTGCAAGAGTGAAGCACAGAGTGTGACTGAGAATGGTTTAAGGCTTTGAATCCTCAAAGCCTGCTGCCCGGGATAGACTTCATCTAGCAAGGCCACACTTTCTAAGCCTTCCCAAACAGTGCCACCACCTGAAAACCAAGTATTCAAATGTCTGAGACTCCAGGGAACATTGTCAATCAAACCACAGCACATACGCGTAGCTATATTTGTATATCCTTTGATACATGTTTATGTTTGTGCTAGAATTGGTTTTTATTTCAGTTTACTTACTGTAGGTATATAAATTCAAGTTGTAAACACATATTTTTATCTTGAAACCTACCTAAGCTTTTTTATTGATTCTAACTTTTTTTTTATGGATTTCTTAGTAAAGGCTAGAAGAGAATTCAGTTAATGACATTTAGAAGTTAAGGTGACTGTACATACAACTGATAGTCTGATATATAGCTATAAATCTGGGATTGAGAGAAATCATAGTGTGAAGTGTAAATCTAGGAGTATATATTGACATTGAAATGATACTAAAAACCATGGGAAGAAGTGTGATCATCTTGAAAGGGAACTTTAGGTGTGAGTATGCTATCTCAATAGAATTAATTTGCTCTTTGAGGAGACCATTGATCACATCTGAGCTGTTATAGTCCAGTGGTGTGGAGTAATTTGAAGAGAGATTTGGTTTGGGAATGAGTTAGAGAACAGGAAATACATGTTTGCTACTTTAGCAACTTGACTGTGAAGAGGACCAAAGGAATGAGCCAGCATAAGGGTTTTCTGAATGCCGCTGCCATGATTTTGAATGGTCCAGCAATTAAAGGTGAAGTTCTAATGCGTAGTTCAGAGAAACACATTCTAGTAAACTGTTTACTGGAAGATACGATTGCATTCAACAATGCTTATTTTGATGTGGAATGATTGCTTAAACGTGAGGTTTTAAAGCAAGTTTTTTCACTCCACCAACTTAGTGCTGATGGTGAAATCTCTGGGTTTTTAACTGAAGATATTCATCTAAGTCTTACTAGCAGGGTGATAGTTTTAAAAGAAAACACATACAAAAATTTACCTATAAAGATCAGGTCACGAATATATAAGGGAACTAAGTATAGTGTGTAGAACTAAAGGGCTGTCCTGGAGGTCACACAGCTTTGTTACATGATGGGAAGAGTTCAATACAGATTTGTTTTGTTGTGTTTTGAGACAAGGTAGCCTTGACTGGCCTAGAACTCACTGTGTAGATCAGACTGGCCTTGAACTCACAGAGGTCCAATGGCTTCTGTACTCTCTAGTGCTTGGACCACTTGTTTTTATTTTTTGAGACAGGGTACCAAATAATTCATTCAGGCTGGCCTTGAGCTGGGTGTTGTAGCAGAGGGTGACCCGGAACTCCTAATCCTCCTGTCTCTATTTTTTGAATACTGGGACTATAAATGAAATTTCTAGCATGCTAGGAATTGAGCCCAGGGCTTTGTGCATTCTAGTCAAGCACTCTTTCATCTGAGATCCAGACCCAGCTCTGTCACCACATGATGGCAGAGTTAATCCAGAATCCATACTAGTCTGGTTGCTAAGCACATGTTCTGTGTCTAAAGAAAAAAAAAACAAACAAAACAAAACCCCAGTTTTTATAAAGGGAATACAAATATTTCTAAATTTTTACAAAATCTTTTTTTCTTTCTGTTCTTCCCAGAGTCTGAATGTCATTCAGCATTTGAAAATACCACTCACTCTGTCTTCAGGTCAGCCAAGTTTTACTTCCATCATCCAGTACACCTGCCACACGAGCAAGATTTCTGCCATGAGTCTTTGGGAAGGAGTGTATTCATGAAGCATTCTTGGAAGGATTTCTTTCACCATCATTCAGAGCACAGCTGCCTTCCTCCCCCCGGCCCAATTGCAGACAAGACCAAGATGGATTACACCAGAATTAAGAGTCTCAGTATCAATTTGAATTTGGGAGAAAATGAGAAGATGCATACTCTCAAGAATCAGGCCAAAGACCCAAAAGGCAAAAGACAGACAAATGACCAAAAAAAGGATCAGAAGGTCACTCCAGAGCTAACAACACAGTGCACCATGAGTTTGAATGAACTTTGGAATAAGTTTCAGGAGCGACAGAAACAGCAGAAATCACCTGGCAATTGTGATAAGAAAGAACTCTCTTTGGTGGAACGACTTGATCGTTTGGCTAAACTGCTTCAGAATCCCATCACACATTCACTGCAGGCCTCAGAAAGTACCCAGGATGATAGCAGAGGGGGCCGAGGAGTGAGGGGGTGGAGGACCGGGAAGAGGCAGCATCAACAGAGAGGCAAGTTGCAGAGGAAGCAATGTAAGAGCCTAGAGAGGGGTCACAATACAGGTGACTTTAGGAAAAGCAGGGTGCTTTCTCATTGTGGTGGGAAGTCCAATAAGATTAAGATTGAGCAGGTTAAATTAGATAAATACATCCTGAGAAAACAGCCGGATTTTGATTATGCCAGCAATACCTCCTCGGATTCTAGACTCTCAGAGGAAAGTGAGCTCCTCACAGATAGTCCCAACATTTTTTCCAGCACTAATTCTCTTATGGACTCTGATGTATTGACCCAGACTGACAGGGATGTGACTTTGAATGAAAGGAGTAGCTCCATATCCACCATTGACACAGCCCGGTTGATCCAAGCTTTTGGCCAGGAAAGACTGTATGTGTCACCCAGGCGAATTAAATTATACAGCAGTGTTGCTAATCAACAGAGGAGATATCTGGAGAAGCGGTGCAAGTACAGCAAGAGTGCACTGGGCACAGGCTATCCTCAAATGACTTCTGAGCACACCAGAAGGAGGCACATCCAGGTACACGGCTACAAATTCCAACTGGGATGCAACTGCCTTTTTTGTGGACTTTTTAGTTAATCTCTTCACACAGGTGGAAAAAAAAAAAAGCCATTTGCCCTTTCCTCACTATAACATTTCCTCCCAGCTGGAAAAGAGTGAGAAAGTGTAGCACAGCGCTATTGTTTGTTGTCATTCTTTCCACCAACACACACTTGCCAGTCACCCTTTGGATGCAGAGCTTTGCACTAGGTATTTTTCAGAATCTGAAGTAAAAGGAAGCCCCTGACCCAGGGAGCTTCAAGTTTAGCATGGCCTCTGTTTGGCCCTGTGGGGGATGGGGGTGGGGGGAGTCTGTTTTTTATTCTTTCCTCCTGTCTTTTGAGAAGTATTTCAATTGCTTTTAAACATAATACACACATATAATCCGACATTGTTTTTAAGTAAATGAAACATTAGGATCATATAAAAATTGAAAATGGGGTAAGCCACAACATGATTTAAAATAAATAAACAAATGTGCTAAAATAAATGATGAAAAGACAAATTAAAGCCACAGGGGGATAAATACACCTGGTGGATGGATGTGTTTGCCAGAAATAAGCTACAAGTTTGGTGTTACATGCTGGAAGATAAGTTGTAATCACTTATCATTATAAAAGCAAGTCAGAATTTCAAAATCATTAGTTACTTCAGTTACAAATACCCAAGTGAAGTTTCCTCATCTGTCTTCATAAATCATTACAGAGTAACAGAGACCTCCAAATTCCTCATGGTAGATGCCACAGTAGTCAGAGGCTGTTAGGGTCACATGACTTTAATAAAAGAGTTGGTAAAGGCCGATGCTCTACCCAAGAGTAAAAAGAGAACCATGTACATGGTGGTGCACACTTGCTATCTCAGTATTCAGGGTGCTGAAGCAGGGGGATCATGAGCTTTAGGCCAGCCTTAGCTATGTACTGTAAACCTGTCTTCAAAAAACAAAGTTAGATCTGGAGAAGAGCTCTCCAAGGAGAGATGGCTCTGTCCATTGGAGTAAGGAAAGTAGAATATATATTTATTTTATTCAAGCTTTCAAATTTTTTTTGTATATTTTATAATAATATAGCTAGTGAAATAATTTATAAATAAATATCTATTTTGGCAGTTTGTGCTCAAAAATACTTTGTGGTAGGATTTCACGGACTCTGCTGGCCTATAGGGAAGGAGACAGGAGGTGCTTAGTTTACCATACCCAGGATTTCTCATGACTGAACTTTGGGTAGATATGAAATGATAGTGGTTACATATGTTAATTGATTTTTTTTTAAAGCCTGGAAATAACACCAGAAAGAAGGAAAAGGATCCAGGTAGAAGGTTTGCGTGTAACCACACAAGCCGTTGTGATACATACTGGTATTTGTGGCATTATGATACATACTGGTATTTGAAGTACTCAGAAACCTGAGATAGGACGATTGCTCTAAGTCTAAGGCCACCCTGAGATACTTTGTGAGACTCCATCTCAAGAGTCCAGGTGGTTTTCTCCCCCTCCCCACTTAAATAATGACATTTGGGGCTTACAATAATCCATGCTCTGCCCTTTTCACTAGCCCTTAGCAGCCAATAATCGGCTTCTAAGAACCTGTCAGTTCTGTCATTTCGTATAAATGCCACCATATAGTATGTGATTCTTGTCAGGCTCCCCCTGCCTCCCCGCTACCCAGGATTGAACAAGGCCACCATCCTTTTGAAGCAAATGCTCTACTACCAAGCTGCAGTCCAGCCACCAGGCTCATCTATGTTAAAGCACAAACAGTACATCAGTTTTTCATGTTTGATACTATTGTGTTGTATGTGTACACAAGGTACTGGGTTTTTATCCATCCAGTGATAGATACTTGGATGTGAATAGGGTTGGTCCTGGATCCCTATATGCAGTTCTTTGAGGTACACCTAAGAGTGGAAATGCCAAATCATATGGCAATTCTCTCTTACTAAGGAACTGCCCAGCTGGTAAGACCACAGTGGCTGTCCTTTTATGCTTCTGCCAGCAGTATTGTGAGGGCTCCTGCAGGCCGCCACCTCTGTGGCTACATGATTTTACACTCTTCAGTACTGCAAAAGGGTTTTCATTTCAACACATTCTTGCCAGAATTTATTTTCTGTTTTTTGTTTTTGCTTTTGCTTTTGTTTTTTTTTTAATTGTATCTACTAGCTAAGTTGTTGAATAGGAAGTGGTTTCTAGCTGTGGTTTTGGTACACATTTTAACCATTTGTATATCTTCTTTGGCCTTTGGGTTTTTTGTTTTGTTTTTTAAGTCCTTTGACCTTTAGAAACTTAGCTGCTTGGCTTTTTATACTGGAGTTGTTAGACTTTCCTATATCTTCATTATAGTAGCCCCTTATTAATTTGTATAATCTGAAAATATATTTGACTATTCTGTAGGCAGCCTTCCACATAGTCACTTTATTGATTGTATATATGATTGCTATATGTTGACTGACATAGTTTTAATAGTGCAGCATGTACTTTTTGTTACCTGTGTTTTGGAGGGTCATATCCAAGAAATTGTTGCCAAATCTGATGCCATAAGATTTTTGTCTTTTTAGTATAGCTTTTATATTTAGAAATTCTATTTTGAGTTAATTTCTGTGTGTGGTATTCAGAAAGGGTCTACCTTTGTCCTTTGGCATGTTGTGTCTAGTTTTGGCAAAATCATTTGTTAGACTGTTTTTCCTCATTTCTTCCTTGGCATTGTCATCAGAAATCATGTGACTGTGTGCTTTCAAGTGTCCGTCCACATTTGGATGCTGTATTTTGTTTTCATTGGTTTGTTTTTCCTTATGCCAGTACCAGTTTGAATTCAGTATATCTTCTTCATCAGTTTTGATAGAAAGAACTGTCCTGTTTTCAAGATTGTTCTGACCACTCAGAGTCCCTTAAGAGTCCCATACTTGTAAATATTTTATTCTTTTTGATGCTATTATAATTGTTTTAATTTTATTTTAGGATTATTTGTTGGTATATCGTAGATACATAGCTAATTTTTACATGTTGATCTTGTACCTTAGCAACTTTGCTGAGTTGATTTGTTAACTCTTTTTTCTTTTCTGCTTTTCTTTTTTATTTCTGAGACAGGTTTTCTCTGTGTAGCCCTAGCTGTCCTGGAACTCACTCTGTAGACCTGGCTGGCCCCAAATTCACAGAGATCTTCCTGTGAAGATCTTCCTCCTGAGCACTAGAATTATTTGTTAACTCTTAATTTTCTTGTAGAGCATGTAGTATTTCCCTTCATTTGCAAATACAGTCTTCCTCCTTTTCAACTTGGATGGTTTTAATTTTTCTAATTGATTTACCGAAAACTTCTAGCAGCATGTTAAATGGTAAAGCAGGTACCTTGTTCACAGGAGAACTTTGAATCTTTCACAGTTGAGAATGTGTTAGCTGCGGATTCTCCTCTTGTGACTTGCTATATTGAAGAGAAGTTCCCTTTTCCTTGTCTGTGTTTTATTTTTACTATAAAAGGTTTTGCTTTTAGTCAGATTTGGCATCTATTGGGTTGATCATCACCACCATCCCATTTTCTATTCATATGGTATACATTAATTGATAATCACATGTTGAACCAAACTTGCATTCCTGGTATAATTCCCATTTTGCTATGTTATGCAATCCTTTTCTTGTGCCATAAGATCCCGTTTGCTAGACTTTTGAAGATGTTTGCATGTATATTCCTATGGCCTACAGTTTTCTTGTTGATGTCTTTGCTATCTTTGTTGTCAGGATAATGGTGTGAGTTTGTCATCCTGTGGTGTTTTGATGATGAGTGTTAGGATTAGTGCTGTGGTTAATGTTAATTCTTTGTGTTTGATAGAATTTACCAGTGATTGCCATGGCCCATAGGTCGTGTATTTTTCTTTGATTTCTATTTCTTGAGTCAGTTTTTGTTATCTTCTAATAGACATTACTTATTTTTAAAAGATTTATTTATTTTATATGGCTTTGAACTCAAAATGTCTGTCCTAGGATTATAGATATGTGCACCGTACCTGACTATGTATTTGTTGTTTATTGTTGTTTTAATCATACAAAAGTCAAAAGTTTTTAACTGGAAATACAGTAATGCTGACAGTAATAATTACTTATGTCATTGACTTCAGGAGTGTTTCTTTAGTCAAGTTGTGTATGCCCTCTACAAAGCCTGATTGCAAGTCTTTAAATGGGTGTATGATTTGAAACATGTTCTTTCCCCCCCCCCCACACCCCACCCCATCCTTAAAAAAGTATCTATGTAGCCCTAGCTGCTCTGAACTCATTATGTAGATCAGTTCAGTTTTCCTGGTACTCAAGAAATCCTCCAGCCTCTACCAACCAAGGACTAAGATTAAATATGTGTGCCACCACTCTGAGCTTGTTCTTCCATTTTTTGCATTGATTTCCAGACAGTTGATTTCACGTCATACAGCAGAGTCCTATTCATGTACTTTCATCACTTGTGTACCTTAGTGTTGGATCTGAAACTAATGTTCAACCCCGAGTCACACAAAAAATACTCTTTGGTTTTCTTCTAGTGGGTCTATAATTTTAGCCTTTGTTTATTAATGCCAGTTTCAGCTACTCCTTAAAGGTTGGAGGGGTACAGTGTTATTCCTTTGAGTGTTGTTGTCCAGTTGTCCCAACACCACTTGTTACAAAGACAAATACTCCACTAAGTATTTGGACACCCTTGCTAGATATATTTTCTGATGAGAAACCATAAAATTTTTGTGTGTAGGTATGGTTTGTTTTTATTTTATGTGTATGAGTGTTTTGCCTGCATGTATGTCTGTTAACCACATGGGGTGCTTCTCTGGTGCCCATGAAAGTCAGAAGAGGGCATCAGATCTCCTAGAACTAGTTAGACATGGTTTTGAGCCACTGTGTGGGTGCTGGGAATCAAACCCTGGTCCTCTGCAAGGAACAAAAAGTACCCTTAACCACTGAGCCGGCTCTCCAACTCCCTGTCCCCACCCAAAATTTGTTTTTGTGTGATGTTAAT